CACACACACACACTCACAGGTCACTCCTCATGGTCACAGAAGGAAACCTTACACTCAATTTAAGGAATCATTCATGACTGACAACTAGAGCTGCTATTGAGACAAATTTCATGATTCAATTCAACTTACAAGCTTGCGATTCGATTTAATTTTGATCTTGATTGAATTCTATTTGTTATTGATTAATTTGAATATACAGGCAATCCGGTTACCATATTAATCTGGAAACAAACATTTAAAATGCACATAACACAGTTTTATAATAAAAATGTATTATATAATACAGATTTATTATAATAAATGTATTATAAACATTTAAACAGTGGATGTCATAATGGATTTATTCAAACATTCATTAATGCATACAACAGGTTAAGTAAAATCTGATGAATATGTAGCATACATTTATCAAAATGCTCAAAACTGACGATCGAGTTTAAGGTCACTGAACGTCTTTTCTGAGGTAAACGTGATGTTACGTGACATTATTGATCTCAAGCTGTTTTATTGATGGTTGAAACACTGATTGATTCTGTGATTCAGGACTGATTTCAACGAGTTGTTCCGTTTCTGCTGTTCGTTCATGTTTATTTGCTGCTGTAACTAGTAGTAAAGAGGAAGAGATGATCGCTTCACTACAGCATCTGTCAGCACACATTAAAGAGCAGCAAAAACACATTCACTGATTGAATTTTGTAATTAAATTGACAGAATTTGATACCTTTGATGAAGGTGATACTTTGTTTCATATCAAAAGTAAGAAAGCACAAAGTTTGGATTGGATGACAGGAGCTACATATAATGTTTCTTTAAGTTCTGTTCACGCATCAACTGAAAACAGCACAGATTCCAGGGGTTCAAGGATCGATACTGATTCATCTAAATGAGAATCAATTCAAATCAAGAAATCTATATTTTCAGCCGAGCCCTACTGGCATCTGACTCAGTAAACAGCACTACTGAGCAATGCGGTGATTCAGCCTAAACATTAACCCGTCTCCATCGCTCTGCTGAGGTTTTTCTAATCTGAGGCTCCCGGCGGGCCGGACACGTCTCCGGGAGAATAGGCTGGCCTACTTGCGTTTGTTTAGGATGGTGCGCTCGTAGTGAAGTATGCTAAAGTAGGACTCCCAACTAGGGCTTTCACACACACACGTTTGTTTTTGTGAATTGTGGGGACATTCCATAGGCATAATGGTTTTTATACTGTACAATCAAATTTGTGTCCTCATGTCACAAAAACAGGCACACACACACACACACACACACACACATACAGAGACACACACACACTCACACACACACTCTCACACACACTCTCACACACACACACACACACACACACACACTCACACACACCTTAGCTGCCTGCCGGTGCCAGCGCAGGTGTTCGGTGAAGCTGTCGAAGCTGATGTAGTAGGTCTGACTCTGAGGTCCCGCCGAGCTGAAGGCCAAACAGTGACTGTGTTTCTTCACCTCTTCCACCTGAACACACATACACACACACATACACACACACACACACACAGAAGCTTACACCAGAACGTAACACAGTGCCCATTAAGAGATGAGTGTTCATAAGCGTCACAGGTCTGTTTAGATCGGCTGTGATGACTGACATGGCAGACAGCACTCAATATTTAGTCTAGCAGTCTACAACATAAATGAACTCTGAGAGAGTACGAGACTATGAAACACACTGTTTGTTTAGCACTTCATGAACTCTCAAAACCACCATAAAACTTTACAACTCACTAACCAATGTCCACTATGTCTGTCCTCTCACTGCGCTCGTTTCAAGTGTTGCTTGTTGGCAGTAACCGGGATCTTGCCAATACACAAATGTTGTTTTAATGAACTTGCATATATAAATAAAACATATATTGTTAACATATATGGTTACTACATATAATATATAAAAAATATATACAGCCTTACAGGTAACATATAGCAGTATCACTCTTGATATAGGCCAATAGATGCCCTTTATTACATTTCCGTATGGGTGGGAAAGAAACTATATAATATAACCTGGCGTCCAGCACATGTAGACAATATAAAGTGAAGGTAAACTGTGAATATTGCAGCCAACTAAAGTGTTTTTTTTTTCTTAAAGAATGTGCCAGCAGATCCTGTCCTTTCATTCTCATGGTCTGCGAAAGTCTGAATCTAAATAAGAGTAATTATCCAATTAAATTTTAACCAGTAAAAGGGATCTGTAGGTAATACTGAACACTGTCGAGCGGCTGAAGAAAATCTATTCTATTCTGACCACTGTGCACTTCAGAAGGAATGCTGTAGGATCATTGGTTTGAGACAAACATTCCCCGCAGGATGATAAGGTGTGAGTTCAGTACCTTTCCTCCGATCAGTGGCAGAATGTGCATCTTGCCCGTATGGCTGGCCTTCACTGAGGACACCATCAGGCAAGTGCCACATAAAATCACCTGCCGTCGACTCCAGCGGTTCACTGGCAGCTGCAGCTTTCCTTTCCTTACGTTATACGTTCCAGAGAGCTGGATGCGCTCGGAGCTCTCGATGCTGTGAGGTTTTCCTGTAAAACAGAGAAAAACACGAGTGACTTCCCCAATCCACTCCTATGTCAACACATCCAATACAGCTTCAGAGGCACATCACAATTCATTGTTCCACACTAGAGAATGCTCTGGCACATGCAATTCAGCAGTCAGTACTAGTAATGAGTGGAGTTCACCATTATTAAGCACAGAATTCAGCAGTCAGTACTAGTAATGAGTGGAATTCACCATTATTAAGCACAGAATTCAGCAGTCAGTACTAGTAATGAGTGGAATTCACCATTATTAAGCACAGAATTCAGCAGTCAGTACTAGTAATGAGTGGAATTCACCATTATTAAGCACAGGATTCAGCAGTCAGTACTAGTATAAAGCACCATTCAGAAGTTTTACTAGTAAAGAGCAGAATTCAGCAGTCAGTACTAGAGAAAGGAGAGTAGAGTTTAGCAGTCGGTACTAGTTCAGTGATTAGTACTCGTAATGAGTGGAATTCAGGATTACTAAGAGCAGAATTCAGCAGTCAGTATTAGAATAAAACAGAATTCAGCAGTCAGTATTAGAATAAAGCAGAATTCAGCAGTCAGTACTAGTATAAAGCAGAATTCAGAAGTCAGTACTAGTAAAGAGCAGAATTCAGCAGTCAGCACTAGTATATAGCACAATTCATAAGTCAGTACTAGTAAGGAGAAGAATTCAGTAGTCAAAGATAGTAAAGAGCAGAATTCAGCAGTCAGTACTAGCAAAAAGTAGAATTCAGCAATCAGTACTAGTGAATAGCAAAATTCAGCAGTCAGTACTAGTGACGAGTAGAATTCAGCAGTCAGTATTAGTAAAGAGCAGAATTCAACAGTTCGCACTAGTGAAGAGAAGAATTAGTCAGAACCAGATCGGAGTTCAGATTTGGATTCGGGTTTGAATAATTCAGCAGGGCTCTATATGGAGTGAGTTTACATTCACCATTGAGAAACAGATGTGCAATATGTTTTGCCATAAACTCTAATTTATCAAAATGGGTTGATTTGTCAGTAATCTCTCCTGGTTATAATATCAATACTTTCATATCCCTATCTTTATAACTCATGCGTTGTATTTGTCCTGCACTGAATGGTGAGGTGTGGTATCTCAGTGAGATCTCAGCTGACTCTAACTATGCAGCAACATTCCTGCTTTCACTTCTGAGACAGAGCAAGCAAGATCTGACCCAAAAGCAGCAGCAGTATGTGGGTCAGGACCCCACGGTACGCGGCATGGAGCACTGCAGCCCACTTTACAGCACGACCATCAGCACAGGTTTAACATGACACCCAGTCTGAAGCTTTCTGTTGTTGCTGTTCAAAAATGACCAGTTGCAGTGTTCTCTCTTGTGTTATGAAATAAGAAATAAGAAAAGCAGTTTACAAATATTGATGCTGCAGACAGACAGGCACACAGAGATGATTTAGGCGTGTTGTGCTTTTTCCCCGGGCGTAATCCTCAGAGAGGAAACCATAGCCTTTCCTGTGTGAGAGCTCTTCTCTGACTGACACAGACCCTGAACCATGAGCGCATTTGCTGCTACAATGCTGTTCCGCCAAATTCAATGATTTAATCTCACTGATTAGCCATTAACCAATTTACCGAGTCAATGAAGTGAGGTGCAAATAACAGAATTCACATGAGTTTTCTGCATTGAGTTGTCTGGCTGTTCACAGGCGTGAATTAGTCCACCAGCCACAGCGCGATAAATGAGAAGAGTAAAGAGTAGAATTCAGCAGTCAGAACTAGAGAAGAGTAGAATTCAGCAGTCAGAACTAAAGAAGATAGAACGGAGTTCAGCAGTCAGTACTAGTAAAGAGTAGAATTCAGCAGTCAGAACTAGAGAAGAGAGAGCGGAGTTCAGCAGTCAGTACTAGTAAAGAGTAGAATTCAGCAGTCAGAACTGGAGAAGATAGAACGGAGTTCAGCAGTCAGTACTAGTAAAGAGTAGAATTTAGCAACCAGAACTATAGAAGATAGACTGGAGTTCAGCAGTCAGTACTAGTAAAGAGTAGAATTCAGCAGCCAAAACTAGAGAAGACAGTGGAGTTCAGCAGTCAGTACTAGTAAAGAGTAGAATTCAGCAGTCAGAACTATAGAAGAGAGCGGAGTTCAGCAGTCAGTACTAGTAAAGAGTAGAATTCAGCAGTCAGAACTATAGAAGAGAGCGGAGTTCAGCAGTCAGTACTAGTAAAGAGTAGAATTCAGCAGTCAGAACTATAGAAGAGAGCGGAGTTCAGCAGTCAGTACTAGTAAAGAGTAGAATTCAGCAGTCAGAACTATAGAAGAGAGCGGAGTTCAGCAGTCAGTACTAGTAAAGAGTAGAATTCAGCAGTCAGAACTATAGAAGAGAGCGGAGTTCAGCAGTCAGTACTAGTAAAAATCAGAATTCAGCAGTCAGAACTAGAGAAGAGAGAGTGGAGTTCAGTAGTCAGTATTAGTAAAAAGCAGAATTCAGCAGTCAGAACTAGAGAAGAGAGAGTGGAGTTCAGCAGTCAGTGCTAATAAACAGTAGAACTCAGCAGTCAGAACTATAGAAGAGAGAGGAGTTCAGCAGTCAGTACTAGTAAAAAGCAGAATTCAGCAGTCAGAACTAGGGAAGAGAGAGCGGAGTTCAGCAGTCAGTACTAGTAAAAAGCAGAATTCAGCAGTCAGAACTAGGGAAGAGAGAGCGGAGTTCAGCAGTCAGTACTAGTAAACAGTAGAACTCAGCAGTCAGAACTATAGAAGAGAGCGGAGTTCAGCAGTCAGTACTAGTAAACAGTAGAACTCAGCAGTCAGAACTATAGAAGAGAGCGGAGTTCAGCAGTCAGTACTAGTAAACAGTAGAACTCAGCAGTCAGAACTATAGAAGAGAGCGGAGTTCAGCAGTCAGTACTAGTAAACAGTAGAACTCAGCAGTCAGAACTATAGAAGAGAGCGGAGTTCAGCAGTCAGTACTAGTAAACAGTAGAACTCAGCAGTCAGAACTATAGAAGAGAGCGGAGTTCAGCAGTCAGTACTAGTAAAAAGCAGAATTCAGCAGTCAGAACTAGAGAAGAGAGAGTGGAGTTCAGCAGTCAGTGCTAGTAAACAGTAGAATTCAGCAGTCAGAACTAGAGAAGAGAGAGCGGAGTTCAGCAGTCAGTACTAGTAAAGAGTAGAATTCAGCAGTCAGAACTAGAGAAGAGAGAACGGAGTTCAGCAGTCAGTACTAGTAAAGAGTAGAATTCAGCAGTCAGAACTAGAGAAGAGAGAACGGAGTTCAGCAGTCAGTACTAGTAAAGAGTAGAATTCAGCAGTCAGAACTAGAGAAGAGAGAGTGGAGTTCAGCAGTTAGTACTAGTAAACAGTAGAACTCAGCAGCCAGAACTAGTATAAAGCATATTTCAGCAGTTAGTACTAGTAAAAAGCAGAATTCAGTAGTCAGTACTAGTAAAGAGAAGAATTTTGCAGTCAGTACTAGTAAACGGCAGAATTAAACAGTCAGTACTAGCAAAGTTTAGAATTCAGCAGTCAGTACTAGTAAAGAGTAGAATTCAACAGGCAGTACTACCAAAAAATAATTCATCTGCTGGTACTAGTGAAGTACAGAATTCAGTAGTCAATATAATTAAGAGCAGAATTCAGCAGTCAGTTCAACTGAAGAACAGAATTCAGCAGTCAGTACTAACAAAAACAAAACAGAATTCAGCTGTTGTACTAGTAAAGTACATAATTCAGTAGTCAGTACTAGTAAAGAGTGGAATTTAGAATTTACGTTACATTGGCCATTGAGAAACAAATGCACATAACCTCTAATGTATCAAAATGTCTGTACAGCATGAAGACCTGTTAAGGTCTCCCAGCCCTATCTGTGACTCCTGGGACAGACGCCCTGAGGTCGGGGGTCAGCGGTCTGTCCGATGTTTGACTTAGGCTCTGTTTTTAGACACCTTATCCTCTTTTGAGCGGTTAGGCAGATGCAGTCCTCTGGGTATCTGGCACAAAGCAGAAGAGGGTGTGTGTCCAGGCTATATTTGTCCACGTTCAGCTGTGTGCTCTAATACACTGGAGAAACCGCCTGCATGACATATTGGGGCTAAAAACTCCTGAATAATTTCTTTCAGGAGTTAAAAAGCTCATGACTGAGAGTGGCACGTTCTGGAGGACTTCAGCACACCACCACAGCTGTATTACACAATCTGACCTTTTTTTTTTTTAAACAATCCTTTAACACAGGTGATATTTTAGATATATGTTGATATTTAAGTATTTGAAATGACTTCTCACTCTCATCAGAGGAAGCATAATTTCAAGCAAACAGTAGCTGAAGTCAAGTAGATTCAAAACACAAGTGAAACAGTAAGAATCTAGTTTAAATGATCATGTTTTCACTAAACAGTTTCACTAAATAAACACAAGGAAGAATGAGATTTTATCAGTTCGATGCTCTAAATTTGCCCTAAATAGCCCTAGCAAAGACAGAAACTAAGATGACGTCATCCAATATAACAAAACATGGGACAATATCAATTCAATTAAGTGTGGAATGACAGAACTATGAGAAAGTTCCACAGATATGAAAATTCAGTAATTATTTTCTCACCCCGATGTTGTTCTAAATCTGTATTTCCTTCTTTTTTGCGGAACACAGAAGGTGAAAAAAAGAAGAAGTCCTGCTTGTGCTTATCTATTTGATGGCAGTGAATGGTGACCACATTTGAGCTTTAAAAAAAGGATGCAAAGTGTCATAAAATAATCCCATGCATGTTAGTGCGTATATACAGCAGGGCTTGGTGAGAAACAAACTCAAAATGGAGTTTATTATTAAGTGAAAAGCACAGAAGCACATCATTTGCCGAAATCAAGATTAGTAAAATCATGAGACAAAACATGAGGCCCATGAACATCAGAAAAGTAGTGTAAACTTTCTTCTCTGAGGTGTTGTGCTCTGGCTGAGAGACCTACGGCAACATATATTCTTCTCTTTGTGTGCGATTAATTAGAATGATTTAATATACAACTAATTAAATAATTTTAAATGAAACATTGGAATTTGTTATTTATAATGAATTAACTGGCTGTTGATAGTGCGTGAACAGCACACGTCTCTGAACAAACCCGTCAGATAGAAAGCACTGCTCTTTATTTATAGCATCACATGTGCGCAAACATCCTAACGAGTGCATGCACATACATCATAAACATCATAAGAACATCTGATAAATGTTGTAACATGACATACTGTAGATGAGCAAAGCCTCTAAAAATAAGTCGAGTCATCAGAGTCTGTGTCTGCAGGATCTCTTCTCTTCAATAACCTCACTTACATTTATCATCAAGTCTGAATGTGTTTAAATCAGCTGGGTTTTGGTGATTTATTCTGCTCAAGATCACACAGGCGTAGAGAATCATATAAACTACCAACATCATCCACTAACAGTAACTAATGTCCCATGAACTATTGTATTTGTATCATATTTTTTAATGTTCATGGAGTCTAGGTGGCACTGAGTATTTACTTTAGCCTCATTTAAATCAAGCACTGACAGACTGACCACTTTAGATGTATAGAAGTATAACTGTAATATCTTTAACGGCACAGATGATGTAGGATGGTGTGCCGAGTGCCATATTTATAATCCTGTGTCATAATAAACAGACCGGCTTCAAAAAATCAGCATTAAAGACATGCTTTAACGCATATTTAGTGAATTTCAAATAAATATTGTGAATGCTTTTTTCATTTATTTTTGTGCATGTTTTCATTAAATTAATGTTGGTCGCAGTTACAGTACAGTAACACACACACACAAACACTCTCACTCTCACTCACTCTCACACACACTCACACGCACGCACACACTCTCACTCACTCACACTCTCACTCACTCACACTTTCACTCACACTCTCACTCTCACTCTCTCACACACACACACTCTCACACACACTCACACGCACGCACACGCACACACTCTCACTCACTCACACTTTCACTCACACTCTCACTCTCACACACTCTCTCTCACACACTCTCACTCTCACTCACACACACTCTCTCTCACTCACACTCTCACACACACTCGCACTCACTCACACACACTCTCTCTTACTCACACTCTCACTCACACTCTCACTCTCACTCACACTCACACACACTCTCACTCTCACACACTCACTCTCACTCTCACACACACTCACTCTCACACTCTCACTCACACTCTCACACTCTCACTCTCACTCTCACACACTCTCACTCTCACACACACTCTCACTCTCTCTCACTCACACTCTCACTCTCACTCACTCTCACTC